TATACGTAAGGTATTTAATATCACGCGTTGTACATCTAAGAATAATACATACATAGCATGATTTTGTGATTGGTGTGGTGTAGTGCATGCACAAAAACCTAGGCAACTGTCTTTCCGGGAAGGAGAAGGGATTCCTGTCGCGCCAACTTCTGCGAAAACTCCGCCGCATGGTACTCCTCGCACACCGACAAGTAAGTGTTCCAATGATCTGTGTCTCAAATTATATATATATTTTACATTTTTACAATATCGTTTATTAATATCTTTCTTTCTCGCAACATTATCGCAATTGTCTTACGATTAAATAGCAGTCAATGCAAACTGCATAATTGATGAAGGACTACATCTTCAATTTATGAATGAGAAATCTCAGATATAAGGATGCAATTGATATTTAATTATTGATCGGGATTAATTCGTGTGGAAATAATCTGACTCTTCTCCGGAGGCGGTTTTCGTTTCCAACGGTCCTAAGGAACACGCGCTGCCGTGTTCATCCACAAAACGGCAAGCTTTTATGACCCGCAGAACTTCGTCCACCGATCGCGGTAAATCGTCATCGTTTATTGTTACGTGACGTAGGATTCGTTGTTCGTCTATAACGAATAGAGCTCTACACGCTACCCCGTGCTTTTCGTTTAATACACCATAATCCTTCGCTATCCGATGATTCCGGTCGGAGAGGAGTGGAATTTTCATTTCGCCTAAGCCCCCTTGTTTTCGCGGCGTCGTCACCCACGCAAAGTGCGAAAATTTGGAATCTGTTGAAATTGCTACTATCTCCGAGCCTATAATAAAATATTGGAATTTAATTAAATAGTAAAATATCAGACTACTTTATTAATTTTAATTTAATAAATTATATTTTTTTTGGATGTGTCATAGACAAGTAATCGCATACGGATAAATTAATTTATTTTGACATATTTTGTAAAAAAAACATAACATTCGTAAAAATTTCTACTTCTAAAATCAATTCAAAATTATTGCAAAGAGGGATCAAGAGTTTTAAAAATGAAAATATAACAATGCAGATTTTATTTTGTACGAAAAATCTCGTTTTTTTACAAATATATCTTGTTAAAATATTTTCATACTAAAAATTGCACTAAAACGATAAAATTTCATACCAATAAGCCGGAATTCGGCGATGCGATCGCTAAATTGAATAAGCTCGATGGGGCATATGAACGAGAAATCGCTCGGATAGAAGAGAAGTACCACGTATTTTCCCGAAAAATGTTCCGACGATATCTCTTGCATCTTTAAGTCAATTATCGCCACACCCGACCAGGGTGGTGCGGGCCGTGATACTGTTGGTATCAATCGTATTTCTGGTGTATGTGGAGTTTTCCATTTTTCTGCGCAACAAGAGCTCATATCGAACGTATTTTTATATACAACATGATCGTATTAATGTATTTTTCGAGACGATTGCGTGCCTCGGGTAAATTATATTGCAAATCGTTGTGACTACAGATACACGAAACTTTTCACGATCGATTTTGTTTTTATTCGTTGTCTCTCACGCGACTTCATTTCTATATTTAAAAAACATTAAAAGTATGTATATATTGTATATTCCATCGCGGAAAATAAATTCTCACGCGATAAATGTATGCTATTATGTTGATGCAAAAAATTTGTTGCTTTTATATTAAGATCTATTTTAAGTGATTGAATTCTGATTGATAGGTAAATAAAGAACATTGGAATATATAATTTCTTTTATTCGATCATATTTCGAGGATTTTTTATTCTGTTTCTTCTTTCTAGATAAAGAGTATTGAAATCAAAGATTTGAATTAAGAATAAGAATTAATTTGATTGATGAAAATTACTTTGAAATTCTGCAGGTGTTTCCTTCAAATTTATTGCAAAAAAAAATTATGTGTAATAATTAATTATTACACATAACTCTTTTAAGAGATAACTATATTCACAGTTCATAATAAAGTTCAGTTTGAACAGTTTAATTTTATATACATATATACATAAGCATTTCGATATTAAAAATTGAATAGAGGTAGACTATTATATATATATATATATATATATAATGGTCTATCTCCTTTAATTTAAAAAAGAAAGATGGTCACTTCACTATTTTTTCTTCCTAAACTAAAGGAGATGAACTGAAACAAACAAGTATTATACATATTTATATATTATATTGGAATAGATGCAATTACTCTTACATGATGATTAATAATTCTCGAGATAAATTAAAAATTTATTTTATTTATCATATTTAGTTCATATATCGTTTATTTGACATCTGCATGAGCATGTTGCATGAACGTATCCTCGTACATATTGTTCGTATGTAGTTAGAGAGCATGAAGAAATAATGTAACGTACATATATGTGGATTATTAGTGAGACAAATTGTTTACCTGATCAATTCTCTGCTACAAGCTAGGTGGTTCAGGGTACAGAGTAAGTAGCTAATAAACGTTATGTGTGTTGCGTACGTCGTTAAGCTCCAAAAGGCGGAAGCGGCTCCGAGTCTTTAAGGCGTAAGGAACGAAGCCGCAGCAAGTCACCGTTTAGGAGTTTCCGCTGGAGAAAGTCCGCCAAGTCGCCGAGTTTAGATCGCAGTGGCGTGAGTGACGATGAGCGTAGTATCCCCGGTAAGTGAAGAAAAGAGATTTTACGTGGTCTACAGTAGTTAGAGATTTACATGTTCACTCATTCAATATTTCCTTTTTTTTTTTTTTTTTATTTAC